TTTTTGGTGAAAATGTTCTCATAGGATCTGATTAAAAGAAATTAACAGCTCAGTTTCAGACCAAAAAAAATCCTTTGTACAGGGCTAGTGAAAGGCAAAGCATCACCTGGCTGTCCTCCTCAGCTTACTTCCAGCACCAAGTGCCTGGGCGGGCTTATTTATTCTGAAGAAGATGAAACACAGATAAAATAATGGGATTCCTTTAGTCTATTTAATTTTCTTTTGTGTGTTTAGAATGGGGAGTGCTGCAAAGAGGGATCTGTTTTGTTGGAAATTCCAAGACACAGGACATCTCAAAGATGGCAAGATAAGAAATAGCTGACATCATGTTTCTAAATATACTACTCTGTGCAACAGCTACCTGGAGCAAAAGCAGAAAGGTTGGGGAGGCAAAATAATGACTTTTAGTTGCTGGAAGGCATCCACGTTCAACAGTCTGTCAGGAAGAGACAGGTGAGGCTGGCTCACCACCTGGGGTGAAGGCTGGTACAGAGTTTTTATTAAAATTATTGCACAGGAGCAGAGAAGATAAACACTCAGTGGGTGTAGTGGAACTGCCAGACCATATGTTTGGCTAGAACTAAGAAGCTCTTTCTCCAAAATAAAACTACCTAAGGCAAGCACCATGTGTTTAAAAAATCTTGTGTACTAGGCAAATACATTCCAGGATTTAGATATAAATTTTGTATGCCACTGTTAGTGCCAATGTCGGATTTGTGACCTGGCTATAGAGTCATTTGAGGTGGAATGGCAGGGAGAATATAAACTAAATTTTGGAATATCATCTGGAGGATGAGGAGGATGTTAAGTGGTTCTGTACTCTTAGCATTGTGCCCATCATAGACTCTCAGGGCTAGCAAGAAGGGACTAAAGCTTTAGCCGGAGTTAAACCCTGTGGTGTATGAATAACGTCCTGAGAGGTAATGTGACTCATTTAAGGTCCCATGGCTAGTAGTTCCAAACTTAAAACCAGAGCCAAAGTCTTTCTGACCCTCAGTCCTTTGCTCTTTTTCACTAGAGAACATAGCTTCCCACTCGTATCCGTTTCATTTTTACCATAAACACAGTGGCTTAAAACAGCACACATGTATTATCTTGCTGTTCTAGGTCAGAAGTCCAAAACCAGTTTCACTGGCTGGCTTGCTGGAGGCTCTGAGGGAAAATCTGTTTCCGTGCCTTCCCCAGCTTCCAGAGGCTACCAGCACCCCTTGGCTTAGGGTCTCTTCCTTGGGTCACTGCACCTTCTTGCTTTTACCATCCCATCTTCCATTACTTCCATTACTGACTCTGACCTTCCTACTCCCTCTTGTAAGGATACTTGCAATTACATTGGCCTCAGCCAGATAACCCAGAATAATCTCCCATCTCCAGATGCTTAATTTGGTCATACGTATAATGTCCATTTTATCATATAAGGGGCCATATTCAGAGATTCCAGAGATTAGGATGTGTACATCTTTGGGGAGCACTATTCTGCCTGTACTCCATCCTACCTCTCATTATTCCCTCTCCTGTCTTCTGAAACCAATCAATATAGAGGGTATAAGAGATTTCTATGGTCAAAACTATACAGTAAAACTCATGGAACACTGGGGTGGTTTTCTTCAATTTACACAGCACTTTTGCCTCTGTCCATTTCCCTGACCCACAGATGAGTGAAAGGCCAATATCCCCCTTCTTTTATAGATTAGTAAAGGAGGGGAAAGTTAAGGCTTTGTTGAATAAAACATTGGTTCTTAAGGCATACCTGCCTGTACCAAGTAATATGGAAATGCCCTCAGTGCTTAGAGCAGTATTCAAAGTCCTTAGGTTCCTAATTTTTTTGGTTAAAATTCAGAGCAGGTGGCTTCATTTGTTCTTTCAATCATTTTTTTTTCTTTTATCTCTATGGCAAGAGATAAGAGAACATTTGCCTAATATCTGTTTGTTTGACTTCATGTCCTTGGGCTGTGCCAATGGGCAGAGTGTGTGGTAAAGAAACTTATTCATAATCCTAAACATATTATATAAGTGGCTGATTCAGAACAGGAAGGTGTCTGTTACCAAAGGAAATGTAGTGGGGAGGCTGTGGGAGAGGAGACCTCATTAGCAAAGGAAGGTTGTCACTTTGGAGAGTTCCGTCATTTCTATGCTTTTTCACAGACAGCTTAAGCTTGTCACTCTCTGAATTCCTTTCTTGGAGAATGATTGGAGAGGGAATAAAAATATTTGCAATTAAATGAACTTTACCAACCTTCAAATATTCTGAACACCTGGCATTATATTTTATTAAAAACAAATATAGTAGGCACTCAATAAATGTTTGCCGAGTGTTGAATGAATGAATCTCATCATGGGTTGATTGATTCTGCATGAAAAATACACGAAGAATGTTTTCATTTGGGCTTGTTTGCTTCTTCTACATTTGATGATGACTTAAAGAGTCATTTAACTTTTTAAAGTCGAGCTAGGGCACGTGGGTGGCTCAGTCGGTTAAGCATCTATCTGCCTTCAGCTCAGGTCATGATCCCAGGGTCCTGGGATTGAGCCCTGCATTGGGCTCCCTGCTCAGCGGGAGCCTGCTTCTCCTTCTGCCTCTGCCTGCCACTCCCCCTGCTTGTGCTCTCTCTTTTTCTCTGTGTCAAATAAATAAATAAAATCATTAAAATAAATAAAGTTGAGCTAAACAAATGTAGGCCCATAGTCAGAAATGTGCTGGATTCGGTATGCTTAGGAGACCAAATTGAGGGAAAATATTTTGCTGGACTTTGCTAAGGCCTTCAAGAATGTTTGAAAATAGTCACAAAGTTCCTTCTATCAATCCAATGTCTAAATGACCAACTCCTTATACTCAGGCTTCTTGCATGGGAGGGGCCATTGCCAATTTTTGAGGGTATTGTGGAATCCAAGAACAATCATTCCATTAGAACCAAAAAATATTTGAGCACCCACCATGTCCCAGCCTTTTAAAATATATTATTTCATTAAACTCTCTCAACAACTTCATGATATAGGTGTTGCTCTCGTTTTACAGATTAGGAAACTTTGAAGGAGGTTAAGTGACCTTTGCTAAACTAGAAAATCCAAGTATTCCAAAGCCTGTGTATTTCAACACCAAATCCAGTGTGGTTTTGACTTTACTGTGGCTTATTTCTATGCCAGAAATCTCTATTAAGTGAAAAGACTAAGAAAATATCCACAGAGTGTCTGAAAGGAAGTGAGGTCATTACTATAACACATCTTCAAAAGAAGGTTTTCTGGTGACAAACTGACAGAAAGGAAGGGTTTAACTTTCACATTTGCAAAGGGCCACAGAAGCAAGAGCTCTCCACTCAGGCACCTTGCATCTCAGGTCCACATCTACTCACGAGGGACTTTAAGCAGTTCCTTAACCCCCTTTTGCTCGGTCTCTTCCTCTTTTTATTTATTTATTTTTATTTTTATTTTTTAAAGATTTTATTTATTTATTCATGAGAGAGAGAGAGAGAGAAGCAGGCTCTCAAGGAGCAGGGAGCCTGATGTGGGACTCGATCCCAGGACCCTGGGATCATGACCTGAGCCGAAGGCAGACGCTTAACCATCTGAGCCACCCAGGCGCCCATCTTCCTCTTTTTAGATGAGATGAACGACAGCATCTACTTACAGTACTGGGGAGCTTGTGAAAGCAAGTAGATTAATCCATGTAAATCCAGTTTATGGTGCACAGGAAGTGCTGCAGGAGGTGCTAGTGATAATTATTTAGGGGAAGTCAAAGTCTTTTTCAATTTTGTATTCATTTTAATTAGAATGAGTCTTCCTTTAAGCCTCATTTCTCTTAAAATTGTCCAAGATTCTGAAGTTTTAGATTATTATTTTGGGGATGAATACACATTTTCAAAGCATCCCCTTTTGGGCATTGCTTTAATTTATGTGCCACCACCCACTTCTGGATCATTCATAGAAAAATTACATTCTAATTATGATGAGTCAATAATAATAATAATAGTAAAAGTAATAATAATAATAAATGCCATCAATACATTCCATGGCACACTAACTAATCACTGTTTAATTATTATCAAATCCAACTGAGGTTTAGCAGCCATCTGGTTTGGATTCTGTTCTAGCAGTGCCGCTTGCTAGCTGGGTGCTTTCTTTCTGAAATATGGGCTCTTTCCTTCCATCTGAGGTGCTATGGTTCTAAGAAGGTTGTGAGTCTGACTGAGAATGACTCAGTCCATGAGGAGATATGTGCTTGGAAGACATCCTTCCAGAAGGCAAACCTGAATAAAATCTTTCGCTTCAAAAATGGAAGCAGACAAGGAAACTGGTTTATCTGGTTTGAGTGTACTTTCACTGCTGTATACAACAGCACTTTCAGGTTTATTCCCTTCCAAATATTTCTTCTGCCTTGTCTCACCTAAAGGTAGGAAGCATGGACCTTACAGGTGGTATATCACTTTTACTTTCATTTCCTTCAGTGCGTGGAGCAAGGATTGCCACCAGGGCCTACCTGTGCTTCCGGTATTGAAAACAGCAGGATATCATGACTTTATCAGAGTCCTCCAAAAGGCCACAAGGTGGGGATATTACTCTACAAATTTAGATATTTTAACTCCTTCTACAAATAATTATTGAGTGCCTACTACGTGCTTGGCATTGTGCCAGGTTCTGGATTTACAGTGATGAGTCAAACAGACCTTGCTCACTGGAGTTTTCAGTATCAGAGAGAAGGTAGATGTTTGAATGTGGATTTAACATTCTGCTTAGTGCTGTGGTGACAGAAATGCAGGGGGCCATAGGCATGAATGATAGGGGCCCTAAATGCAATTTGAGAAGGGCCTGGACAGAGCTCTTGGAAGACTTCCTGGAGTAAACAGTGTCTATGCTGAGACCTGCAGAATGGCTCAGCTTTACCTAGGAGCAAAGTTCTAATCTCGACAGAAGAATGGCATGCCCAGAGGCCCAGCAGGGAAGGTAAACTTGGTTCTGTGAAGCAATGTTAAAAATGTTAAAAAGTTCAGAGCCCAAATTCCTATTTTATGGATATAAAATGTCCAGATTGCTACAAGATTACCACGGTTTTCAGCCATGCTCAGAGGCTGGTTCTTTGTGTAGACTGTTCAACAGTGTTGTGCCAGCCAACAGGAGGAAGGGCCAGACTCACAGAGGGGTGTTCATTTAGAAGAAAGCAACACTAATGGTCCACACAACCTCTTGAATTTGTGTTATATTGCAGAAAGCATTATCAGTTCAGTAATTCCAGTTAATCTACCAAGATAATGTAATTATGCTTAATTTTGAGGTTTACAACAGTGATCTTATATTTTGGTGTCAGTTTTTCCATAAAGTTTCCATTATGGGCAAAAAAAAAGGTTAAAAATGTTAAATTGTAGTTGAGGCCTAAGAGTAGTGTTGAGAGATGGGTCTAGGCCATATCACGAAGGGACTTGAAGGTCATGTTTTTAGGATAATTTTCAGGTCAGTGGGAAAGTGGTTCCTCTTATACTGGTCTGTCCACCTGGAAGGTCTTTCTTATCCTTCTCTGACTGGCACAATCCCTGTCAACTCTCAGTGTTCATTTGCTTTCTAGGAATCCTGATCCCTTATCTACCACGACTGGGTTCAGCCCCTCATCTTTGGCACAGTATTTTCTCCATCTATCACTTAGGCAGTGGTCCTCATTGTTAACAGATAGGGCTTGGACACAGCAAATGGCGACTTGATTCCTACATCCCCTGCTTTCTAGTAAGTTCTTGGCTTCAGATTCCTGACTTGGAAAATGAGGCTAATAATAGCAGGCATCTCATAAAGTTTTGTGAAACAGCCTGAAAGTTGGAAGTGCTTAGCATATTACCTGGCACCTAATATGTGTTGAATAAATGTTAGCTATTGGTATCAGTTATCCTAAATGTTAGGGGTTGATGTCCGTTACCCTGAATTTTAGTTTCTTGATCTCTCGTCTCCTTCTCCTATTATCTTCTAAGATTCTGGAGGACAGGGACCATGTCTTATTTTACCGTTATGACTCTGGCTTCTACCACCATTACTGGAACAAAGAAGTGCTCGATCGATAGTCATTGGATAATGAATGAGCATATTTATTGTGTGACTCGCATTTGTTTCACATTTAAAACTATTAATTCCAAGGTGATATAGTTGAAGATTGTGTGTAGTGAAGCTCCTTTGTGATCTACCCCATCAGGAAATGGGAATCTTCCTATGGGCAGAAAACATGTGTGATTTAGGGTTTTAAAATACTTATTTTATTTTTCCAAGTTTTGTTGATCATCCTTACTTTAATCAATGTCAATTGCTTTCTGAATTTAATGAGTGATTTAAAAAAAATTCACTTAACATTAAAAATTTTAACTCACAGGAGTATTCATATTTTAATGTTGTTTTTAAGGAACATGAACACATATTCAGGAACATATAAATTTGCTTTTACTTGAATTTTAAACTTAGCTATAGAGAGCTTACTTAACATAGTCAGCCAAACACTTTGGAACAATATGACTAGTAATTCATTTTATTATTTCTAATATATGAGATGGTGCTGAACTGACTTTTAAAAAGGTGTGCATTTCTTAGTAGTTGAAAGAGCATGAGATTACAAGCCTAGAGATCTAGATTCTACTGTTGGATCTACGTTAAACAAGCTTTACAACATTGGGAAGTCAATTTTCCTTTTATGAACTTCCATTTCATTTCTAAACCTGGCCAGATCGAGCTGCATTTCAGATAAGATTCTCTCTGAGTTCCTAAATCTCATGATTTGATATCTTTCTGTTCAGATGATGAGCCAGTGAGCTTCTGGCAAAACAGATTGGTGTATATATAAATGCAGTGGATTAAAATCAGACATTGATTTCTTTTTTCACTGTAACACTTTTGTTGAAACTCTGCTTTTCTGGGGGAGAAGGTGAGATAACAGCTGAAAGCTAGTATTTATTGAGTCCTTACTAAATTAGGCTGAGTGCTTTACATGCGTTATCCAAATCTGATTCCATTGAATGAATATTATATTATTAGCCACATTTTACATGTAAGGAGGCAGGTTTCAGAGAGGTTGAGTGATTTAGCCAAGGTCACACAGCTTGTAAAGTAGTAGCAAGAGGCTGATTACAGAGCCCACTCTCTTAGCCATTAAGCTGTATTGACTACTTCTTATAGAGGGTCTACTATTTGTCAGGCATTGTGGTAGACAATCCACAAGCATTCTTTTATTAAGTTCTCCCAACATTCCTGTGGAGTAATTCTCATTAACTCCATATATTTTCTTTATCAGAGTAACTAGAAATTATAGGACAAAGGCATAACAGGGAGAAAAGAAGTCCACAAACATAAATAGGGAAAACCTGAGGCCTTGGTATGGAAGTTGTTTAACCATTTTAAAGGATATAGTTTTCCTCTGACTTAGACTGTTAATGATTATTTACAAAGCCAGCTGCTATGTTGTCTGAAATTCTTTTATTCTGGCATTAATAGAAAATAAAAAGTTGAATTACAGCCTCTGCCCTTAAGAATCTCAGGTTTAGGGCACCTGGGTAGCTCAGTTGGTTAAGCATCTGCCTTTGGCTCAGGTCATGATTCTGGGGTCCTGGGATTGCCCTGTGTTGGGCTCCTGCCCAGTGGGGAGTCTGCTTCTCCCTCTCCCTCTTCCTCTCTTCGCTGTCGGTGCTCTCTCTCAAATACATAGGTAAAATCTTAAAAAAAAAAAAAAAAGAATATACGGTTTATACTCCCCTTAAGATTGCAAGATCTTGGCAAACTAGTAACATCTCTGAGCCTCCATTTTCTCATCTGTAAAATGAGCATAGTTCCTACCTTGTAGGGCTGTTATGATTATTAGGGACAATACACAGAAAGCATCTGTAATAATGTCAAGAATATAGGAGATACTCAGTAAATGATAACTGTAGTAATTTTTATGATTGTTATACATTACTATTGTTTCCCACTTCATTTTAAACTTCTTGATAACAAGGGGTATGCCTTCCCACAGTGATTTTCAGGTAACACGGATGCAGAATATTTTTAAATGAAATATTGATTATAAATCCTTTCCATAAATCCTGTGGTAATAAATCCTTTTCATTGACCAGATTGGTTAGGAGAGACTGATGAGTGTTTAGATGTGAACCAATGAGATGAATGGAGGCTCCAGAATTGGATATGGAAGGGAGTGTGTGGACCAGAGAGATATACAGAGGAGGAGGCATTGTGAGGATTTGGTGATGAGCTGGAAGTGGTGAGAGGAAAGGTGGGGCGTCTCTGCATAACTGAGCTTTCCAGCTTGAATGGATGGGAGAAAGACAGGGTTGGGGTGAAGAAGGATTTGAATGGCTGTTTGACACATGTTGAGTTTGAGGTGTGTGGTAGGAAGCCAGATCCTTGGCTCTGAATAGGTGACATGCAGTGGATCTCAGGGTCTCTGAGAGCAGACAGAGGAAGTTCAGAGCTCTTGGAAGGCACATTAAGATTAGGTTTCCTGAAAACACTGACTAAGAAACTGTCTCTCTCTCTATATATTTTCACTTTAACATTGGCCATTAAAGCCTCAAACAAAATGAGCAAATAATGTGGAAATTTCAGGTACACACAAAAGTGTGAAAGTTTTTGGGAAGTTTTGAGGTAGTTTCTTAGCCCTCATTAAATCATAATTTTTTGGTGCATCATATGAAAACTCTAGGATGTATTTTAGCACATATCCCAGAAAATTTCCTCCCATTTCAAATGTATTAGACCCACTTTCCTATTTTGATACTAACATTCAATATTTTGTTGACCTTTTTGTCTTTAGAAGCACGTTGAATTTTTCAAAAATGCCAAAATGAAAAATAAAATCTCATCTGATAACATATAATCTCAGTAATTTGACACAATAGAAAAATTGTCTTATTGCTATTTTAAGTAGAATTGTGCATACTCTTCCACTGTTCTTAAAGATTATATCATTTCCTTGTCCTTTTCATGAAGCAAAATAGATTAGCTAATTTTATCCTCAGTGCTGAGAACTTCAGTGTCATTTTCAGGCAAAGAACCACGCTGCATTAGCAACTCTGTGCATGGAGACTTAGCTCAAGGTCTGCTCTCCTCCTCCACAGACACACCATTCCCTCCTGTGCAGTTCTAGGCCAAGGGGCCGATTTGAAGCCTCAGTGTCTTCATACAAGAACTCCTGAGACTCAAAATACCACTAATTCTTTTAAAATCTGCTTCTCTACAACTACAAAAAAAAAAAAAAAAGGAAATAGAATTAAATAACTAAGCAAGAGTTACATCCATTAATATTGAATTTTAGGAAACTTCTATATTAGGTTCCTATTGCTGTTGTACGAAATTATGACAAACTTAGTGGCTTAAAAAACAGCACAAATGTATCATCTTAAAGTTCTGGAAGTTATCAATCCAAAAATCACTCTGAGCAGGTTAAATTCAAGGTGTTGGCAGGGCTGCATTCCTCTTTGGAGGCTCTATAGAAGAACTGGTTTTCTTGCCTTTTCTAGCTTTTAGAGGTGGCCTGCATTCCTTGGGCACGCGGTTACCTTCCATCTTCGGAACCACCAATAGCCTGTCAAGTCTTTCTCCCTCCGCATCACTCTGACACTGACTCTTCTCCCTCCTTCTTCCATTTTTAAGGACCTTGTGATGCCATTGGGCTCACCTGGATAACCCAAAATAATTTACCCATCCAAGGTCAACTGGTCAGCAAACTTTAATTCTATCTGCTACTTGCCCTTTTTCCATGGAATTTAATATTCACAGGTTTTGGGGATTAGGATGTAGACATTTTAGGAGGTGCTCCTTAAAGGTACTCCTGCCTATTGCACTTCTTAATCATATTAAACATGACATAGTGTTAATGGCATAATCATAAAATTTGAAATGTTTATGTAAAAGACATCAGGGTTCTACTATAGTTGGATTCTGCATAGTTGTTTTGAAAATAACTCAATGCTGCTATCCTCATTTCAGATGTCAGGGGCACATTTGAGACATGGAGTCTTTTAAAATAACATGATTGTGTGTGTGAGAGGTAGGAAAAAGTCAAGGAAGACAAATTAGTGAGTCACTGTGTATTACTTTAGGCAACACTGTGCATTAGAACTTTCTGAGATGACAGAAATGTTCTCTGTCTGCACTGTCTAATGTGGTAGCCATTAGCTACATGTAGATACTGAGTCCCTGAAATATGGC